ATTTTCATAAATACGCTGCTTTTGAGCACGGCATTTATTAAACAGCCGCAGGTGCATACGCTCGAATCTGTGCGGATCTCACACGATCATAAATGCCACGTCGGATCTTGCGTATGAATTCATATTGTGCAGCGGTGGCTCTCATCAGTGAAGCGTCTGCAGCGTCTTGTGAATGCACTGAAGCGCTGTACACTTGCGAGAGCGTTTGCGGTCCAGATTTTACAGAGAAACTCTGGAGCCAAGACTTCTGAATGACAACATTTGAGGAGTTATGTGGCGCGACCTCTTACAGCAACTTCTGAGCATGCACTCCAAGAGTGCGCAGCGGGTGGACAGGGCAGTGAGACATTTGGAGTGAGCAATACCATAGTCCATCGGTCCATGCGTTAATGGGGTGTGTGTCTGTGTGAGGCTTACACAAATGTAGGGGAATAAAATTGAGAGAGTGATGATTGTCCCAGACCAAACTTTGTGCTGGTTTTAGCCGCCACAAAGTGCTGTTCTGAGAGTCACGCCAAACTCGGCCCTAGCGTAGTTTTAGATTTAAAGTTTAGGGCACCAGCAGGATAAAATCCTGCAATAATACTACCTAGATCAATGCCTTGATCAGCCTAATAATCTGGAGGTGTAGAGGTCTAATCTGCCAGGGAAATCAGGGATTGTAATAAAGAAGCAATGACAAATAGCTACTTAGTTCTAGTTTTATTAACTAAACACAAGAAAGGGGTAGAGTAACAAAGGATTTAGTTACATAAAACCAGAATAATTCAAATCACGTTCAAACCATAACACAACAACAGCCCACACAGGGTTTAGTTCAGTCTTACTGTGAGAAGACCGGGTCGTTGATCGGGTCTCTGGCTCCGCTCCTCGCGTGTTGTGGATGTGAAGAAACACGCGGCGGCTGTTCTGGATACGATGAGAGGCCGCTGTGGTCGTTGAAGGCCCTTCCTTTCACGGGGCAAACAACAATCCTCCTGCACACGCGTTGCAGAATGTGCGCGTACAGCTGTCCTTAACAGAACGGGTTGGTGAGAGTCCAGTGGGAGTCCAAAACAACGCCTGCTGTACTTTGTGTTGTGATCCGGCGAGAGAGAGTTCAGTTTTTTGAACGGAGGGTTACACAGTCACGCTTGCCTGGCCGCGGCTTGTACGTTGAGTCCAGCTCAAAAGGTACACGTGACAAAAACCGGCGTAGTTACAGAGAGAGCAGGTTTCAAAGTGCACGTTAACATGAAGTTACATTTTCCAAGAGGAGGTTTCTGCCGTTGCAGAGCTGTTTTTGATCCCTGCTTGTGGGCGTGTCTTATGACGTCCTGTCAGGGATGAAGCAGACAGGGACGGATCGTGGTGCGCCAAACTCTGGAAGTTTATTTAAGTTTCTCTCAAGTTCCAGTGGTTTCCATTGTTTCTTTCTCTCAGACAGAATGGAGTCAGTACACAGTTTATATAGTCATTGTCACGTCACACATCGAAAGACATACGTGTCACACAGAGACAGTCACATCAGAGTCAAAATAATCAGAGTCCTTGTAGAGTCCTGCACGTAGGCCATATTGCTATCTAATACTAACAGTCAAGCCCCTGCGACTTCACAGTGGTTTCAGATAGAAATTGAACAGCGATTTTAACAACACACACATTATTTTGACATAGGAACACACAATTTCATTACAGACAGGATACACAAGTTTCTGATTAAGACTTTCACAAAACAATGTATTTGTCCACAGTCCGTTTCAGATGTATTGGCGTCCCGCGTCCGCTAGGGGTGATAGTGAGTAAATCCAAAGTCTCTGGCTGCCTGTCTATCAGGCCCTGTCCTGTGGGGGCCACATGACCCTTCCGAGGTGATAACACGGCCTCTTTGAAGTAGAAGTTCCTTTGTCTTTGGGTTGGTTTATGGCCATTTGTGTCCCAAGAGGGGGTGATAGCAGTTGTTTGAAGTGACTGAGGTGATGGCAGACAGCCTCATTTTCTCTGTGGGGTCTGGAGACAGTGGTAGGGGAAGACAGAGCCTTTTGTCTTGTAATTGAATTAGTGTTTGGTTAGCGAGGCTCTGTGGCTGGACTTCTTATCCTACACAAATCTAATGAAAACAATACATTGCTTTACCAGATGAGAGGAATACAAATAGCCGTGCGGAATTACGCAGCGCAGAGCCTGCCACAGCAATAGCTGGGTCACACATCCCTGTCGCGTAATGTGTATTTGTATAGAGCCTTTCACTGTCCAGGATCACAAAGCGCTTCACATTTTAAAGTGGACATATCATGTTTTCAAATAATTGATTTTTACATCTAAATAATTAATTTGTGGCCTATATAAAGCGTAACTGCAATGCCTGGGTCTGAGTCTCATTATTTGTAGCTCCACGGGCCTTTCTTCTACACCTGTTCTGAGGTGCGTCTGAGAGCAACCTGTTTTGGTGCTGTCTCTTTAAATGCAAATGAGGCGCTTTTGACCACGCCCCCATCCAGGTGACACAGGTTAAACTCCACCCCGAGCGGCCATTTTTGTAGTTTCTAAGCACAGATACAATTATCTCATAGAAACTTCTCATTACATCGCAAACATGAAGCAGGCCTTCCTCATTGACTGAAAGCAAATGTAAATTTTCATTGTTAGTCCAGTCTTATTATCGACTCTTCTCTTTTTAGCTTTGGGATCCATGCGCACAGTCTATGATGCTCACACGCCGGTTTGATAGACACGTTGACAGAAAATTTTAAATTGAATATTACTTATGCACAATTTTACAGCATTTAAAAACGTTAAGAACGTTTTTCCTTCTACAGAAGGAAAAAGACGCATGCGCCTCCGGAGCCGCAGGTTGCCGACTCCTAGTTTATACAGTATGTGGAAGCAAATACTGTAGAGGATCAGGATATGTGCAGTTTCAACAATAAAATAAAATGCAATAGTCTACATTACAAGAGGGTAATGAACATGTCTCAGAGTGAGGGAGGTGGACACAGACAACACTATTGTTTGTTACAGCGATGAGAATTGGTCAAAAAAGACTGAAATGCATATTGTCAGCCATTTGCTGGCTCTAAATCTGTTTAATTTGTTCACAACATATTACTTTTGGGCTCAAACATGAACTTTTAATGCAATGCAAAATGTAGGTATCAGAGCTTTATTTAGGGCGTTTAATCGCGCTTCAAGAGGAGAGGGGAGACGCGGACTGTTTCCTGCAGCAGTGCATTTATTGGGTGCACAGATTACTCAAAGACACGAATGGTCCTGTGCGCGTTTATGGGGTTGGGTACATGGCCACGTTGAGGCTGCGCGCTCAGCCACAACACGGTGGAGCGGCTGCGAGCGTCTGGACGCTCACAGCCTCTCGCAGCCGCTGGACGCGGAAGCTGCTCATTACAAAGCGCCCGCAGATGCCCCGGAACACTGCGGCCGCTGAGGTGGCGGAATCCCGTTGGAGTACATACAGCAGGTGCCCCGCGGATACGCGCGCCCCGCTCGAACAATTCTCAACGGATTTACACTTCTCATAAACATGTGTTTTGTATGCGGCAGACAGACCGGCCCAAATATGGGCATCGGCCCTTTGGGCATTGCCCGGTACACCCGATGGCCAGTCCAGCCCTGTTCGCTGGCATCCTTGAGCTTGGACTACAAATTAAGTGATGCACAGTAAAGGAGGGCTGGGCCGAAGTGTTTTGTTAGACGCCCATGCCCTTATATAGCAGTCTCGCTGCAAATACTGTGACGTAATAATTCTAAACACGTAATAGAGAATGGCAAAATCAGAACGGGTTGAAAAATCTTACCTAAACAGAATATGAAGTGTTCTCTGCAACCCATGAAGAGACTGATTTCAACTTTTTTGCACTTCTAGAGGCTCCAACTACACAACATAAGGCATTTAAGGCACAAAAAGTGGATTTTTCATGATATGTCCCCTTTAAAAACATACAGATCAAAATAATACACACAGAAGTCAGATTTAAAATCATTGAAACAGAAGAGGCTCCTCATCATGATCTGTGATTTATTCGAAGTTTGCGTGTTTCCAGAGTGACTTTTTCTGATGCGCAAATTCCAATTCCGAAACATGATGCTCCATGAAAACGCAGCTTATAATATTGCCAGAGTGGGAACATGTTTATTGTTGTCCAAATCTTGAATTTCATGCGTGCTTTGGCGTGTTGTGACGTGTTGTAAAATGAGCGTACACATTTACACCACCTATTGACTTGGTGTAAATTCTGTGCGTAGCATCATTTACACCCTGATTTGGCTGTACGCAAGTTTCATACATGAGGCCCATTGTGTGTAAATTTGGGAATGCTATGATAAATTTAACTGCTTATGTGACGCTCTATAACTCATGAAACACTTTAACATGCGTTATTTATTGTTCATAACGCAACTTTGCCTCATTTAGTGATCCTTGTCGAAGTTAAAAAATATAATTACGTGGGTTTGTCACTAGGTGGCAGTCTTGATTCATCCTTTAGCGGAAACTTCACTGATGCATTATTTCGCTAGCTGCTGACAGGATGAGGAAAAAGTATCCAAAAAAGTCTGTGCGCATCCACCAGACACGCTTGATGAGCGCTTTTTATATCGAAGAAGTGAAGTCTATAAGATATATCTATCTTATTAATGTCCGTGGACGCAGAAATGTATGTCAGAAGAACTACACCCTCAAAAAAATTATATTTCATAAAAGGTTCTCTATCTCCTTTTCTAGGAAATTCAAAAGGGATTTTCATGAAAGTTTCTCATGTTTTAGGCTATCTCAGGGGCAAAAGCTGGTAGAAACGGAAGGTTTTCACCATCTGAAAGTTCAAAGCCTCACCTTTCAAACGCGTTATAGCATGTGATTATGGCAGTAACACAGAATATGCTGTGACTCTGCAAATATCAGGAACAATTGACATAAGGGCTGGCATTCTAAACCCAAGCTGTTGAAACAAGGCTGGCACTCGATGAGTTTTAATGATATCCTTTTGTACCCTTAAAATTTGACTCACCTGTGGCAGACTCAGCAGCAGAGCCAGCGCCCAGGCCACCAGGATGAAGTTGTTCCATCGCTGTGTGGCCCCGCTGCGATGAGCCTGTAGGGGGCGGCAGATGGCATAATGTCGATCCATCGTCATGGCTACGATCATGTAAGAGGAGGCGAACATTCCCAGCACTTGCAGGTACTTGACCAGCCTGCAGAGGGCGTCAGGCCCCGGGAACCGCCCCCGCGCGTCCCACACCAGTTGCGGCAACACCTACTCACAAGCACACACGTGCAAGACACACACACACAATTTAAAACGCATCCTTCAGCAACTTGATCAAATCAAATAACCTTTTTCTGATGTTAGAATGCTGATGTCTTGTTAATTTACATTTCACTTTCATGATGTTATCCATGATATTTGGTTGTAATTTTGATCTCAAAACTGTAAAACAGTGTCTACATTCAAAGCTCTAGATTTACCACAATCTAACCCACCCTAATTTCATGATCCAACTTCCATGAGCTTGGGGAATGAACTAAAGGACAAAATTGTGGATGAAAGAGGGCGGACGGCCAGCTCTACTGAGCTCCTTGTCAAGGAGCTCAGAGTAAAGCTCAATAATAAAAATGATAATAATGCAAAATCGGTTTTGTCGATGTTGCACTTTTCAGGACACTCAAAGACGATTCACATGTCATTATTCTTTCACTCCAATATTTAAACTGCTTGACAATTTGAAGATATGGTTTTATTACAGTTACTACTGTATTACTATTACTTGAGTGGTTTCACCTGGAACAGTGCCACCACCAGGTCGGCGAGGCACAGATTGAGCATGAACTGGCGCAGAGGGCTGTGGTTGTGCCTTTGCCGCAGTAACACCAGCAGAACCAGGCTGTTACCCAGCAGGGCCAGCACCAAGATGGCTGACAGCACCACCACCTCAGCTGTCGCCAACATTGAGTCCCGCTCCACTGCCGTGCTATTCCGGGAGGGCGGGGTTATCGGAGCAGACGACCAATCAGACCACGGCTGTGTCACCATGGAGACCGACATGCCAGCTGAGGATGCAGAGGAAGAACAAAAAGGAAAACATGATAATGGTGAGAGCTTGTCACAGGTTTCTATACCCGTTGTGGAAGATCAACTACACAGAGACGGGATCGTTGCGTATAAAGGTTATTTTGTGTTTTTATTATCAACACTTTTTTTTGCTTTTGAATTCTATAAACTAACAAAAAAGTATTCAGTGTAAATAAATTCAATGTTTTAAAATTCAGTGTCAAAATATTCAATGTTTTCAAATTCAGTGTCCAAAAAATAAATGTTGAAAAAAAATTCAGTGTCCAAAAATTCGTAGCATTTTTTTTTGCTGCTTGAAATGTCATGCTTTATTTCCGGGTAAATCAAGAAAGAAGCAATCGATCAGCCAATCCTCCATAGATGTAGCCGGGGCCAGAACATGACTTGTCTTGTTCATCTGAACATGGCGTCCACAGCAAACCAGTAAGTGTGTTTTCTCATCATTTAGTTGGTATGTAAACACGCAAACCACTACTGTATGTACTTTCTGAATGTAGGAGAAAATAAAATGACCTCTTTCCTCAATCAAATACATTTTGTTGTATATTGAGACATATTATAACTTCTGTCTCCACTGTGTGTAAATACTTGTGGTTCAGGTTTTATTGTGGGTAAGAATGTCTTAAGATAAGTGCCATGGCAACACCCTTACCCCAACGACTCTACAAGATGTGAAGACTTACAAGGACCCACAGGGAAGACAAACCAGTCTGCTTTGGAACCACGGAGTGACCAGACCTCCCTGGGCTCTGCCCTGGGCTCTGCTCAGGCAACCAAGGGGCTTTGGGCCTCTTAGATGGCCTCAAACCTCAGCTCCACGTTTGAGAGGACTTCCACAACCCTTCAATAGCCTCCAGCTTCAACCTGAAGAAGTTGCAGGCCCCGTGGACAAGAAGCCTCCATCCAACACCATCAAGACCCAAGGACTGCTATTCACCAAAGGCTATTCTGGTTGTATGATCTGCTCTCTTGCTACACACAGTTGTTGGCTTTATTAACCCTTTAAGCGCCAAAGTCGCAATATTGCTCACTTAAACAGGCTGTATCTAAAAATGTGGTGCAGAATCTTGTTAATACTTTTCACCAGGGGTTAGTGGACATGTGTGCCTGTAATATGAGCAACATTTGTAGGTGTGGTTATATTGAAAGTTTTTGAGTAAATTGAGTTCGTAAAACACCTGCGGCGCAGCCTTGCGGAGGCGAAGCAGCAGCGGTAGAGCTGAGAGGAGCGAGAGCAGAGCAGAGGGAGAGTGTTTTTATTTACTCACGAGGTCTTCAGTACCAGAGAAGTACTTGGTCTGGTACTGGCTCACTCAGATTCAGAGGAGGAAGACACACAGGTGTCCAGTGAAGCAGACACGGACATTATTGGTGACGGGGAGACCGCGCTCCATAGTCCACAATCAGCCCCAGTACAGCGGCTGCTTGTCCTCCGTGTGGCCGCGATAGAGGCATTCTGTGAACGCCAAGCAGGGGCTGGGGTCGAGGGGACAGGGGGATCATAACACCGGGCATGTGGGAGAAAGTAGTGGGGGTAGACATCCACGGGGAACACGGGAGACGCGGGAGAAGTCGCGGGAGAGCCGCGGGAAAAAAATTGCTTTTCGCGTTCACTGCCTTTACCAACAGCAATGATGAGGATGAAGACAATTCTTGAGAGAAAATAATCCACAAAAGTGGATCAGAAGTGTTGAAGAGCCTGTTGTATGTTGTTGAGACGATCTGACAAGTTCTGAGCCCATTCATTTCATCTCTCTGTTTCTAAATGGTAAATCTTGGAGCATCATTTCCACTGAGAAAAATAGTAAGCCCACTACTTCTCTGAAAGGGATATATTGAAACCAATCTCAAGATTTCATGACTGTAAACTATAAAGAGTGCTGTCTTGATCTCTGAAGGTCTTTGAAAATAATACAATTCCATATGGCTGCGAACCAGTGCTAAAACATTATCTATAATCTGGATCAGGGAATTTATTTCTATCCCAAATTCATTTCATACTAAAGATATTTCACATTGACTGTTTATAGTATTCCCTGATCTCAAATAACTCCCAAGCTACAGCTTTTTGAAGTCTTTATACAATAATTAACATTTTCCAAAATGGCCGCCACCTTGATCACGTCACAATATGCAAATTAGATGACGAATCAACTTCCATCCCAAAGTTTGGTTCAAACTGAAGATATTTCTAATTTACAGTATGCCTTTATCTCAAACCATTTTAAAGTTATAGCCTTTTGAAATCTTGAAATCAAAATTGTATATTTTCTTGAAAAAACTCTGGCGCCTAAAGGGTTAAAACCTATACTTCAAAGAATACTTCTCCTACCAAGGCTGAACACATGCAGGCCTCAGCCTATACCAATCCATTCATAGACAAAGGTCTTGCTTAGCTCACTTTAGCCTAGCATTTTAACAATGTATCTTGAAATCAACGTTTCCTTCATGTTATTCTTGACAATTTGCATATTGCATATCTAGTCTGTATTGTGTATACTTCATTAAATCTACAAAACCATCTTTGTCTGAAAGTGATATTTGTACTTTTAACTCCAGAAATTGGGTCACTGATTTGTAAAATAATTCACTATCTTCATATTCTATTGAAGAGAATTGGACTAATTAGCTAATTAAATAATGAAAGGGCTCATGAGATTACTTAATCAATAAATGAGCCAATTAATTGATATTGTGACGTCATATGCACGTTATCAGTTGGGAGTTATTCCCTGGTGCCCCTAAATAAAGCTATTATCAATTATTGTATTTATTACATGGTTTTTTTTATCCAATTCTCCGATATCAGGTACATAACTTAAGTTATGTGTGATATCGAAATTTTCTCACCCTACATATTATGGTGCCCTGTGTGAGGGCAAAACAAACTTAATTTCTGGAAATTAAATCATACAAATTCAATGTGACAAAATTGTTGTAAGCTGTTGTTGCGAAGAAAACTGAGGTACTTCACCGGAGCAATCCAATCTAAACTCACAGTATCTATTCTTGTATAGCATAAACATGCATACAACTCCAACGCATTACCAGCGCACTAAAGTTAAAACTTAAAAGTTAAATGCTGCGATTCTCCAAATTCAAATGACTTTCAAAGCAAAGATGGCTTTTGCTCTTGCTGCAGAATGTCACACCTCTGTGCCAAGAGCCAAAAGCATCTGGCCAATCAGAGCACTTCATCTGCAGGCTGTGAGAGGGGGGAGGGCCGTCCCCTCCCCACAGACACTCATCAGATGTCCCCCACACAGCACCTCCTGGAAGGTCAAGAAGGGTTAGAGTGACAGCAGAGTTTACGGAGTCATTAATGGCTTTGTGCTCGAACATCTCCAAAAACCACACCTGCAAATTCACGCGCTATTCCTTTACTTAGTTCAAGACGTAATGGTTGCGAGTGATTTCCAGCGTGTAAAGCTTAAAACCAAGAGGCATCGAGTGTAAGTGAACATGACCACCTGTGACTTTCCAGGGGCGTTCAATACACCGCCTGATCTCAAAGCTATGACTAAACGCGACGTTCCGTTTGCCATTAGCAAAAGATCCTGAAGTGGGACTAGCTATCCACACAGGCATGTTTTACGTAAATCGCTGCGAGTACGCCCCAGCGTGTAAACCCTCGATCAAAGGGGTCTCGGTGTAAATGTAAGTGGCAACCTGCGATGTCCAGGGCCCGATCAACACCCCCCACGATCTTTAAGCTAGGTCTAACGCGACTCTCCGTTAACCTTTAGCAAAAGACCTGTATGTGAGATTAGCTACCCACACAAGCACGGTTAAGCAAAAATCGCTGCAAGTAAGTGTGAGATTTCATAACACTTTGAAGCAACTTTTGTTAAAGTTAAACTCATCATTCTATCAATGTGCAGAAGCCAGTACTTTTCCCTTGTTGTGTCTATCTGAAGGCCAAGCTACATGGCACCGTGGCAGCTGCTGATTGGAGGTCTCCATGCCTCCGCTCTGTATAATACACTTGCATTCTGTTGTTGGTGTTGTTCGTGCTGTCTCTACCATCGACAATAAAACATGTCTTCTGTCTGAATGAAAGACGCGATCCCAGACTTTGTCATCTTCTTCATAAGTCCAGCATGTAAATCGTCAAACCACGTTGTAAAACGCGCCACCACTGGTTAATAATTTCCAGTGGCGCTATTTGCTTATACTTTCGCTCTACCAAAAGAGTAAACAGAAGAATATCTGAGATTCGAAGTCACTTTTATAGGAAAATCTATGCTCAAATACGATTATTGCAGCAAAATCAAGCCAGTAAGACTTGGCTCCACATTGAATTGTCTCAGTGAAAGTATCCTCCCTCAACAACACTCCAAATTGTTTGAAGATTAAATTTTATACATTCTCTATTGTCAATTATAACAGCATATAGCTACAGATATTAGCTTCCAGCTACTAGCCTAGCATTAGCTAATACAAGCATCTTTGCCTCCAGCTATTACCATAGCCTTAGCTATCTCCATCAAAGAATGGAAAAGCTCAGACAAATATTCTTACCAGTTAATCTGAATAAAACCACTCCAGTGAACTCTAGATAGAGCATACACACAGACTTAGCTATAAAACTCCTGGCATTGTCTCAAACACAGTTAGGACAAACTAAAAGCCAACTCTGACATGAGCAATAGAGCTCTATTACAGCAGAACTTCGCCTCCGCCTCCTACTGAGAGCTCTACTTCCTGCTGAGAACTCCGCCTCCTACTGAGAGCTCTGCTTCCTGCTGAGAACTCCGCCTCCTACTGAGAGCTCTACTTGTTGTATACTTATTGTATTTATTTATTACATGGTTGTTTTTATCCAATTCTCCGATATCAGGTACATAACTTAAGTTATGTGTGATATCGACATTTTCTCACCCTACATGAACATGTTTTTACCTTAGCTTATCATTAGCTTATCCAGTGACACTTGGAGAGGGGTGATCGGGAAGAGCGCCCCCCCTGATCTG